TATGAGAGTATATATATTCTAAGATCTTATCCTCATATTAGTTTTACGGACTAACTTATTTACCCGCATTCGTCTATAATGTGAAAACTTTTACTTATTTGACACTACACCCGGACGTCGGTGTAGCGACCCTGCACACTTTTCACTGTATTCAGGATACACAATGTGTCGTTTCAAGGGAACGTCCTAGCATTTATACAATGATCAGAAAGATTCATGCCATGATTTTTTGACAAATTTTATATAGTTGTCGACTATTTAATGCAACCCTCCACTTTTCACATCTCGGGTTTGTGACCAAACAATGACAGTGTTGATATTTACACTGGAGTCTAACGAAGGTCTCATCTAATAATAATAATAATTAAGATAAAGAGAGAAATTTACATACATACCACACAAGTTTTGTGTATTTGCATATCTAACACCTAAAGTTTGATATTTACATCAAGAACACTTTGGTGTTATAAACCCAAGCATGAAAATATGTATTTCACTTTTAAAAAGTTAGTAACAGTGATATTTTTTATGTGATATCAAAGATTTAAGTGGTATGCATGTAAATATCAAAATTTAGGTGTTAGATATGTGCATGTTAAGAATTGTATGGTACGTATGTAAATGCCTTAAAAAACAAATCTCAAAACAGACATTTCAAATGATTTGATTATAAAGAATGAACTTGATTAGGAAGATAAATGCTTAAAATATCAATGCAAAAGTACAAATTCTTTTACATGGAGTGATAAAATGGGATGAGAAGAAAAAATAGCAGGCAAGTGGGAAGACAAAAATAAGAAAGGCAGTTAAACAAATGACTGATTAATCTGATCATAGGCACACAAAGATCAATTGATCTATATAGACAAAATATATGACTTTATCAACCCCCGTTTTCTGTATAGCGATGCATCAACTGTTTATAAATTACATATAGGAAAAACTATTTAATCAAACGCTGATATCTTAAAGCGTATAACTCAAAACAATTAAAAAAAACCAAGTATCTGACAAATCAGTAACGATAACACAATTATACGATAAAATCCTCAACATAAAAGGCATGCTTAGTGTCAGTCCAAAAACTTTATTTTGATTTCTATCATACAAGAATTTTCATTAAGGACCTTGTGAAAGCAAAACAAAACTGAGAAAAAATCATTAAAAATGTCCTCATCTTTCCCTTCTCCACCTCTCTAGGGTTCTAATTGTTAGATCAGCAATGAAAGCATCAAATATCCACAAATCTATAAAACAAGCATCTAACATTGATGAAAGGGGGTATGAAAAGTAAGATCTATAATAAAATAAATAGGAGATGGAATCTCAGGGCTTCTCTTGTTCTCCTTTACTAAAGATCTATTCCTTTCTAAAGCTCCTTTCAACCCACCCCCCAAACCCCCTCAACCACTTTTTTCCAGTAGAGAAAAATAAGAGCCTCTGATAACCCTAAAAGCACAAACAAGTAGATGAAAGTGTACTCAATGGCTTCTAGTTACAAATATAAGTGTCTTCTTATTAAATGGTTTTTTTCTTTGAAAGGACTAAGCATTCTTCAAGTGACAACTAAAACCACCTAATAGAAATATTTTTTAAAAGCTTACATTGAATTTTTTATTTGGAAATAAATTCAGCCATGTACTACAATAGACAAGTAAATTAACCAAAAGAAAAATTTTCACTAAAAAAGACGTACATGAAGCCTAATATTTTGTGATACCAGAGTTTACCCAAATCACGACGCAGGAAATAATTTTATTAATGACTTAAACACAGTGACAATGAAGATTCAAAAGAAAGAAAGATAGCCCACAAAGCAGAAACATAAAACAAAGGATTACAAATAAAGACTCGACAAAGGAAGATACAACAAGCTTGACGAGTAGGGAGTTCGGGCGGTGGTACAAGGCAGGCGGCTGCGGTGAAGGCCGGAGAGGTGTCTTGCTCCTGTGGAGAGGATGGGCAGCAAATCATAGATGGTAGGGGCGTCGAACCACAGTTGGACGAAACTGGGAAGGGGGCAGCGGTGGCTGCAGCCTGCTGGGAGGAGATGCGGCAGGTTGGTGGAGCAGAACAGCACGGCCGTCCAAACAGCAGCAGGTTGCTCTTTAAGGCTGCTGGACAGCAGAAAAACAGTAAAGGGAAGGCTTTGCGTGCTGCGACAATGAAGGTGGAGTGTTGGGACAGCGAGGGCAGCGGAGATGAGGGAAGATAAGGCGATGGGGGCGGCTGGAACTGCAGAAAACAGTAGATCCTTGCTATTTCTGCATGGTGGCAGCAAGGGAGAAGGCTGGAATGATGGAATGACAGCAGAAAAACGGACGTACGAAAAGATAAATGCGTCGTCGGGGCCGAGCTGCAGCCGTAGCACCACTCGGACCCTTAGAGACGATCACCACCTCGGACAGGAGACAGCCAGGCACTACCTTGACATTGGATACAACCCTCAAAAGAGAAAAACACTCGGACAAAACTGAATTTAGATTTCATAAAAGAAATCCCTTACCCTAGACACAAAAACTCCTGTTTATAAAAGACTTCACTCGATTTTAGGAAACATTAAAATAGGAAAAGATTAATATTAGATTTCAGAATTTAGACAAAACTTCTTAAAATATGCAAGGAAATAAAATCATATTTCTAATTTAATGCAAGGGTTTTAAAATTAGAAAGAGAATAAATTAAGATTTCCGTTTTAGGAAAGGTATTAAATTAGAAAGGAGAATAAAAATCAGATTTCAGTTTTACAAAAGGTTTTAAATTATGAAGTACTTAGGAAGGAAAGTTGAGGAGGAGAAAAAGGAAAAAGGGAAGAGGAGGGAAAAAAAACCCGTCATTTTGCCTGAGGTTTTAATTTGAAATTTCAAAAGATGCTAGAAACCAAAATGTAAAATGTTAACCAACATTAAAGTTGTCTATGTCTCTCATACGCAAACCACAAGTAAAAATCAAAACCATAATTGTTGTAGAATTTCATCTGCTTGTCAAGGGGCATTTAAGTACATACCAGCAAATTCTTCTGTATTTACATATCTAACACCTAAAATTTACCTTTTACATTTATAATAACCAAATCTTTCATATCACATAAAAAATACCACTATCTTAACTTTTAAAAAGTGCTTAACTTTTAAAAAGTGGAAATACAACTTTTCAAGCATAGGTAAGATGACCTATATGTAAAAATTTAAGTTTAGGTGTTAGATTTGTAAATACAGCAAAATTAATGGGTATGTATGCAAATCTTCCAATGATAAAATGCCAATTTAACTAAAGACAAAGTAAGATTGAAAATCATAAACATACCACCGCATTGGTTTTTTTAAAATCAGAGGAGGAACCATTCATTAGTATCGAAAGCAATCCTTCTTCATAATCTTATATGCTTCACTACATTCATATGTATGGACCCATCCTATCTAATTTTCCAATTTGTTTTCTAGTAACAAAACCTCACCCTCTTGTTATTCCAAACTAAGGAATCAAAACATTAAACCTCCGCTTGTAATAAGCATCAAGGAAAAAAAATGAAACATCTCCTTGCTATAAGCAACAACCAAATGAAACATCAACAATAGGTAGGGTCAGGGTGTAAACGGCTAAGAACCATAGACAAGATCAGCAGTGTAACTAAGTTGCCGAGCTCGAGTCATGCTTAACTCGAGCTTAGCTCATCTGTCAAAATGCAAGATCTAGCTTGAGTCAAGCTCAAATGATGATACCATGCACGCGAGCCAGTTTGCAAGCTCGAACCAAAATCAAATTATCATGAGAGCTCATTGGAGAAGGCATCGATGACTAGAAGGAGAAGAGGAGTGTCACGACAACTAGCCGAAGAAGGCATCGAGATGACCATCAATTATCCTGTCAAGTTGGCTCGCAAGCTGATGAGCCAAGCCTAGACAGGCTTGAACTCAGGCTCGTTTAATAAACGAGCTAGAGTTTAAGCTCGAGATAGAGATCAAGCTCGTGGCTCAATAAGCTCATTAACGAGTCGAGCTCGAGCTGTCTCATCTCACTTACACCTTTGGGTGAGTATTAATGCATACAAATTTGAAATTAGTTAACGCGTTCCAACCAAAATGTTACATAAAGCCTATGTTATCAAGCACTTGCATGAGTGCAACAGTGATAATTTGGCAACTTATATTAATTTAAACGATATTAAAATATTACTCCATTCATGACTCGAGCAACACATCATGCATCTGATTGAGCCAAAGCAAGTCGAATACCAACAATAGGTACAACATTTAAAACAAAAAATTATTTACTAAGTTGGGTGATGGAGAAATATTAGAGATTATGTCACGATTCATTTCAGTAGTGCAACATTACTAGAAGACCAATGGTCAATGTCATCTCAGCATGTCAGCAGGCAAGCTTCAAAGTTCTTGCCTAATTTTGAATATTCTGTAGAATCTGTACTAAAATTGTAATGAACATATTGTTTTAGTTTAAGGAAGGTCTTATAAAAGACTTGTCTTTATGATGCATACAATATTATCGCTATTGATTGCATTTTGATTTCTATCCTATTTTTCTCTTTGTATGTTCAGACCCTCTTGTGTATAAAGAGTGCTTTTAATAGATAATGGGAATGAATGAATATTATGAATGCAAAATTGCAAGCTAGTGTTCAGACCCTCCTAAAGTGCCCGACCACCCTCCTCTCTCTCTCTCTCTCTCTCTCTCTCTCTCTCTCACACACACACACACAACTTGTTCAATTTATCTTCTCCTTCGCATCTTTGGTGGACTTCTAATCCACGCTTCACCTCTTTTTATTACTTAAGCAACACATCGGAAAGTTATTTTCACCACCAACAAGCCATAAGAAATCCTTTTATACACCAAAGAGTGTTCCAATTCCACGCCCCATCACCATATTTTCTTTTATCTGCTAACAAACTATATAACTTTGAATCAAACCAAAAATGTAACATGCTCCGTAAAGTACACAAATATTTAAAAGATCTTACTGTTAAGAACAGTTTTACCTGAACCACCACCAACAAGAAAAGCAAGCCCTTGACCAACCAGCTTCTGCTTTAGAATTACCTGAAACAAAAAAAAATTAACAGTTATGGATGGAGAGAGAGAGAGAGAGAGAGAGAGAGAGAGAGAGAGAGAGAGAGAGAGAGAGAGAGAGAGAGAGAGAGAGAGAGAGAGAGAGAGAGAGAGAGAGAGAGAGAGAGAGAGAGAGAGAGAGTGGGGAGAGGGTAGTTGAATGAGTTATCAAAAGGTAAAAAACGCTGAGTTTAATTGACATCAGAAAAAATATGTACAATTAATTAAACATGGCAAAAATTCACCTCGACACCAGATGCAATGTTCCTGGGTCTTTGATCCATTGTATTACTAATTGTAACATCATTAAGGGAACAAAGAAAAGCATCTGGCTGCAACAACAATTTCAGAATTTAAAGCATTTTACTCCATTGCAAACTCATGACCAAAACAAAACATCTTATAGTAGCAATATAGATAAGAAAGCAAAATTAAAAACATGGAAAACATAAACCCAACAAGAATTGCTTTAATGAAGTAAATATTGATATGAATTGTAAAATGGACTCAAATTAAATAAGTGTATGATTTGTGCTCAGGCAACTGGATGGCAAGGTTATGACAACATGACTGAGTTTTGGAATAGTTAAAATAATTATTCCTCCTTGATTTCATAAGAAATGTTTACGAAATAAAGAGTAGAAGAAGGCCACCAAATTAGGAAAGTGATAAAATCAGTCATAAAATCTTATTAACAACTTCAAAGTGTTTCTCATGAGGCAAATGCATAATGACTTATCAAACTCAAAAAAAAAAGGCAATATATGGCCGTGTATGTGACAAGTATATTAATTTTCCCACCAACTTTTGATGTTTATATTACATTCATTTCCATCTCCCATTTTGTGATTGGGATCAACTGAAATGTCTGCAGGCCTACATTCACTCATCCTAGTTTCTTTGAAAAGATAAAAAAATATACTCCTTTGGGAAATAACAACCCCTTTCTTCGATCGAGCAACCTCAATTTCAAGAAAATACCTTAGAGATCCAAAGTTAATGGTCTCAAAATCGATGAGAGAGAAATTTTCAAGCAGTTCATCTCATATGTGTCATCTCCAGTGAGAATTATATCATTCTCATATACAATAGTATGACTATCTTCCCGTCCTATGAATATCTAAAGAATGTTTTATGATCTTCTTGCCCTTAATATACCTCAGACCTTCAATAAAAAAGGAAAATTTCTCAAACCACACTCTCAGACCTTCTTAGTTTATACACATTTGTGTTGAACTTCTTGCTAAATTTTGGGGGTTCGTCCACGTACAATTCTTCCTCTAAGTCCCCATTGAGGAATAGATTTTTTATATCCAACTGTTGTATAGGCAAATCAAGATTAGTTGCAAGTGAAAAAATGCACTTACGAAGCTTTGTTTTGTGACAGGATGAATGTCTCTAAGTAATCAATGTCATAGTCCGAGTAAATCCCTTAGCAACCAGTCGAGTCTTATGTCGCTCTAGGGAGCCATCGATATTATACTTGATTGTAAACACTCATTTGTACCCTATAGTCATCCTCCCTCTAAGTAGAAGAACCAATTCCCATTTGTAATTTTTTTCAAGAGCTTTCATCTCTTCAAAGACAACCTCTTTCCACTTATGAACTTTTAAAGCATCCAAAAAATGATTAGAAATCTCTGTATAAGACAGTTGTGAGATAAAAGCATAGAAAATGAGAGCTTACAAGAAGCAATGGGAAGATTAGAATTATTAGACCTAGGCATAGAACTAGACTCAAGTTCAAGGCTAGAAGACTCAGAACTTGAAGATGAAATAGATTGTACGTGGGGTAAAAGCTCGTTGAATAAATTACCCGAAGTGTTTGTTGAATCTGAGTAGTGCAAAGGATTCGTAGACCCAATCTTTTGAGTTGTCCCCTAGCATGAGTAAACAATATCAAAAGATACCAATGTCATAGTTTTTTTTCATATATCTTCTATATTAGTTGAACAATCAAGGTTGGAGAGGTAATATTTTGTGACTTTTATGTTGGAAAAAGATGCTAAAAAACGATAGTTGAATGTTTGTTTGTTCCCCCGTTTGAAGAAAAGGCAGAAAAAAGGATTGTAATTTAAAAAAAAAAGTGACATTCATTATAAAAAATATTTTATAGAAATATGATCAACATATTTATACCCATTTTGAATGGGAGCATGCCAACAAACATTTTTTGCTCAGGGTTCAAAATTTTCTTGATTATGAGTCGCACAAATATCTTTAATAGTAAAGAAAAAGAGAGTCAATTTATTAGGTAAATTTTATGAAAAATATAAAAAAAAAAATTCCAAGTTCAAATCTTGATTGGGTATTCTATTTATGAGAATATGGCAGTAAGAAGAGCTTCACCCCAAATATATTTTGGCAAATGAATGGTAAATAAGAAAGCCCGAGCTAGTCTAATAAGTGTTCGCTTTTTCTTTCAACCAAATTATTTTGTTGTGGAGTGTTGACCCAAGAAATTTAATAAATTATTTCCTTTTTTGAAGAAAAATTGACCTAGAATATTTTTGAAATATTCTCACCCATTATCACTCCATAATATTCGAATATTTTTTCAAAATTATGTGTACCATGAAAATTTTTTAAAATTATTTTCACTTCAAATTTTTCTTTCATTATATAAATACAATTTAATCTTGTGTGATTATTAGTAAATGTAACAAATTCATTCCATAATATATAAGAGTTTTACAAGAGCCTTAGATATCACTATGAATCATAGTAAATGGTATAGTTGGTTTGTAAGTTTGGGTAAAAAAATATTGATGTTTAGCAATTTGACAAACTTCACATTAAAAAGAAGACATTTTTTTATTCTGAAATAAGCTAGGCAACTAGCACTTTAAATATTAAAATTTTGGATGATCAAACATATAATATAATATCATTATCTTTAAAAATAAAAAAAAAATTTAAACAAGTACTTTGACATTGTCTATTTGAGTCAAGACCATCTTCAAAATAATAGAATCAATCTTTTTCTTTAGCACTTTCAATCACCCTCGCAGTGATCAATTCCTGAAACTCACAATAAAGGTAGAAATCAGCTTTACACTGATGGTCAGACGTAATTTTACTAATGGATAATAAGTTACAAGACAAATCGAAAACATGAAGCACATTGTGAAGAATTAACAATGGAGTGAGCATAACAGTTCTTATCCAAACAATTAGCGACAGGGTACCATAAAAAATTTTAACTTTTTTATTACCTACATAAGGTCTGTAGGATGAGAACAATTTAGAGCAACTAATCATATGATCAATTGCATTAAAATTAATTATCCAAAAATAAATAGAATTAGGAATAGCACCAAATCATATAGTGGCTAGAGAATTACCATTTTGTACTAAAGAGCAAGATAGAGTCAGAGATAACTTGAAGATTGAAATAATTTTCGCAAATGCTCAAATTATTCCGTAAAAGGGACTGAATTCGAGTTTGCAGAAGGCTCCTTAGTTTCTTCGGCGGTTGAGCCTCAACCTTTTTTGTTAAATTTTAGTTTCCAATTTGCAGGTTTATTATGAAATTTCCAACATATCTCCTTTGTATGATATGATTTTTTGCAATGCTCACACCATGATTTCTTATACCCTTATTTGTCAACAAAACAACAACAAAGCCTTTATCCCACTAAATGGGGTCGGCAATAACAAAACCCTATTTGTTGATATCAACATTTTTTTACACGAGTTGAGGTCTCCTATCCATTGTTAAAAGGAGGCTCGATGTTGCGCAGCAAAATTTTTCTTCTCGACTCCTCACACCTAACCTAAATAAAATCTCTAATGAAGGGCAATGGATTCCTATCGAAAATACAAACTCAAACTTTGTCAAAAATCCAATTAATGTCAGATAAAATCATGCAAACCCCGATCATATTCTTCTATTTTCTTAATATGAGCATAGTCTTACAAATTCTCCCAAACATCATAATAACAGTGATCAATCTCCTAACATAATATTACCAACTCATTGTAGCAAGAAGTAACAACATAATCATTTTGCTTGGATTTCCAAAGTTGAGATTTCAATTCAAAGTTTTAGGAAGAATTCTCCATATTTGAACCCATATATCTTGAGTAGTGGGAAGGAATAAATGAGGATTTCCTATGGCATGTTCCATGGAGTTGATGAGCCAAGCTAGAACAAGAGAGTTTTCATACTGCCAGTTTTTAGTGTGGTCAACAACATTTTTCGAAATTTCCCCAATTAAAAGCCAAATTTTGTCTCTCCCGTTGATCGCCAATTTTATAAATTGAGCCCACTCAAGGTAGTTGTGCCCATTGTGTTTTATAACTGTGAGATAAGGTGATGAATTTTGGGTATAATACTCAGCCGATGCAGCCATGCGAGGAGTTATACAATGAAATGAAATAATCTCAGAATGATTGGAATTGGTAGATGTATTAGAATTTTTTTGGATTATGATCATCATAGTTATACGACAACATCATAATTTGAAGAGAGCAGTGCATGTGCAATGGCTACCTTGAGGAAAAAATCGATATGGAAAAACTACTCTATATCAGCAAGTTTTGATCTTGTTGTCCATGCCAAAAGACTATCATAAAAGATAGGGCTATGTCCACGTAGGACGTATCCTTCCATTCATGCCATAAGACTATCGATAAAGGTAGGGCTAGCAAACTAGCTGATTAAGTTGGGTGTGATCTAGTTTCAAGAAGAAGTGGAGCGAGAGGAGATGATATTGATGAACGAAACTCGCAAACAAACAGGCCAACAAAATTCAATCGCGATCCCAGCGACGATTTCGATGGTGATTTCTAGTTGTGATGCCATGAAATTTTTTAAAGAGTCAAAATAATTATTTCTCCTCAATTTCATAATAAACATTTATAAGATAAATAGAAGGGCAAGACCACCAAATTAGAGAAGCCATAAAATCCCTGTGCTAGAAAAAGAAAATAGAAATCAAAACTTACCAACAATGTAATAGTCTAAAAATAGAAAATGCTAAAATTAGACATTCCTAAGATTTTGACAATGACTATAACTTTTAACAACTCAAAAAATTATCTCATGTTGCCGGCCAACTTAAACTGTTTATAAGAAAATTGACTTCCTAAAATAATAAAACATAGCCAAGAACCTTAGTCCAAAGGGGAACAAATCATATTATGAGTTTGAATTAGGATTTAGGGACCTGTATAACTTCATATTTTGAACAAATTTCCTAACTTCTAAAATTCACTGTAAACAACTACGAAATAAAATATTGATTAAACTTGTGTCTACAAACTTACTCTACTCATCCTCGCCTTATAATTGAGCTCTCTCTTGATGATATCTTACACATGCTCAAAATGTTTCAACCATGGTGCTAACATCCACAACTCCAACCACCAGATTCTCCCTCCAATTATTAGATAGCTTTAAACAAAATGACCAACGTAATAAAAGGAGTGTTATCATCATTTTCTTGAAGCTACCCTGATTCAATGTAGAATGAAGATAAAAACCTTACCATTTTCATATGCTTATTTGGTAGATCATAAGGCCAAATCAATTTAGTGGACAATAAAACATCAACCAAACAATGCTAACTGCATTACCTCTACAACACTATAATCTTCCAAGGTAACAAAATAATGTAAAATTCTGAAGCATAAAAAGAAATTGTAAGCATTAGTTGCAATGGCTATATCACAATTCGCTATATCATATTGACTTTAAGCCCATTTTTTTGCTTTAGTTATGGATGCTCTTATTAGACATTTACAGGAGGATCTACCTTAGTGTATGCTTTTTGTTGATGACATTCTTCCCGTGGATAAGACTAGAGAAAAAGCTCAGGAAAAATCTGAATTATGGAGGTCCACATTGGAGTCTAAAGACCTTCGTTTGAGTTGAACTAGAATTGAATACATGGAATGCAATTTAATTACTAGTAGCTCTAGTGATAGAGTTGTAACTATGGGTGATCAAATTATTAAAAGGCGTGAATGTTTTAGATATTTAGAGTCTATTTTTCAAAGTGATGGTGATATAGATGGGGATGTTATTAGTAGAATTCAAGTTGGTTGGTTAAAGTGGAGGAATGCTTCGGGCCTATTGTGTGATAGAAAAGTACCGCTTAGACTGAAAGAAAAATTTAATAAGATGGTGGTGAGACCTGCAATGCTCTATGGCGTCGAATGTTGGCCTTTAAAAGAGAAGCATAAAACTAAGTTAAGTGTTGTCGAGATGAGAATGCTTTGGTGGATGAGTGGCTTTACACTTAGAGACAAAATGCGAAATGAATATATCTGTGATAGTGTTGGTGTAGCTCCAGTGGCAGATAAAATTAAAGAGAGTTGTCTTAGATGGTTTGGTCACATTAAACGTCGACCATCTAAAGATCCGGTTATGAGAGTATATGTTTTAGATTCGACATATATTAAGAAAGGCAGGGGTGGACCAAGAAGAACTTGGGCATAGTGTATAAAAATAATCTTAATTTATTTGAATTAAATGAAAATAATGACACTCAATAAGAAGTAATAGAGAAAAGGGATTCATGTAACCGACCCCACTTAGGGTTTGTTTGGGACAGCTTATGCGTTTCAGGATAAGTAGTTTATCCTGAAACGTGGCCCGAGGGTCGACTCTAAGATCAATCTGCGACCTGCATTTAGTGTAAAAAACCCAAACGAGGCAGACAGCGTTTTCAAAAACGCGCAAACGAAACGGTTAGACAGCGTTTTCAAAAATGCCGCCGCACTTATAAGCTGCCCCAAACGGGCCCTTAGTGGGATAATAGTTGTTATTTTTGTTGTGGTTGTTGCCAAAAGCCCATAAAAGAAAATTTGTGTTTTACCTGGCAAAGAATTTCCCCACCAAAATTTGCCAAATCTATCTGCAGTAGAATAAATAAATATAGTAATCAAGTTAGTAGAGAGAGATCAAAAATGTTTTCTCATAACATCTGAAATATTGCCACACGATGAACATTTTAATTTTTCATACTAACATCCAAATCCAATATCTTCTATCTAACTATTAAAGTCTTGAAGAATTCATTGTGAGTAAATGATTCAACGGAAGTAAAAACATATGCTGAATGTCTCACTTTTTTAGTGTATTATATTAACAATGAATGGTGTTCTACAAGCATTAGATTAAGTACAAACTTCACAAAGTAATGTAAGGGGAAATTTACATACATAGCACACAATTCTTATGTATTTATATATCTCACACCGAAACTTTCATGAAACTTTCATATTTATTTACATTCATAGCACTTAACTTATGCATGAAAAGTTGACATTTACATTTTAAAAGTCGTAATTGTGTTGTTTATGATATGATATTAAAGATTTGAGTGATATTTGTGTCAATATGAAAGTATAGGTGTAATATATGTGAATACGTAAGAATTGTGTGATGTGTACGTAAACGCCGCTAATGTAAAACAAACCGGAAGTATTCTTGCAGGAGATGGTGCTGAAATTCCAACAAATCCATCGTCAGGACCAGCATTGGTAAATACTATTGTTGTGATGCTCTTTCCAAAGAGCCATTGCCATACACCCCCCTCATGTTCAGGAAAGTAGATATTGTTGATTTGGACAGAACCAGACATGTAGCACATAGTACCTGAAGATTATTAGTTCAGCTCCAGCAAAAAGGTGGTAGAAAAAACATTCATACCGGCTTTTAAAAGATGTTCTGTATAATAATAAGTAAAATAAATGTTTGTCCAGCTAGCTTAAATTAATAAAATCACTTCAAGTTTGGGGTTAACAATCTGGTAAGAGAGTATGATTTCAAATAAATTAGCAAACTATGTATCAAAAATAACTGAAACAATTTGCGCAGGTGCTAATTTCACCTTATGTAGCAGTAAGGTTGATGTTAGCTGATTAAGAAGAAAATAAGTTTAAAAAACAACTGATTTTGGGGCAGATAAGCTGAGCAGGACAGAATACGATGTGAAGCATAAGTTATCCCTTGCATTTCTGCAGAAACTTTATGGGAAATTTACATACAAAGCATACAATTCCTATGTAATTACATATCTCATAACTGAAATTTTATATTTATATACATAACACTTTGGAGCTTTAATCCTATGCACAAAAAGAAGGATTGACTTCTAAAAAATGGTAGTAGGGCTCTTTTTCATGTGATATTAAAGATTTGAGTGCTATGTGTGTAAATATGAAAGTTTAGGTGTGAGAAATGTAAATACATAAGAATTGCCTGCTATATATGCAAATGCCGCAAACTTTATTCATTTAATACCAGAACTTACCAGGCTTTGCAGTAACTTTCTCTTGTGATTTCAGCATAATCTGCAGATAGGATAAAAATCCCAGGATAAGCACCCAAAAACCTTGAACTTAAATGAACTGCAGCCGGACTTAGGAAAGTCTCTTGTTCTGCATTTTACCTGAAGAACCTGAGCTTCTCCACCCAGTATCTGAAATGGTGTAGCCACTGACTGTTGGCTCTGTCATTCAAGATTTTTAAAACTCACATGAGGATAATTGCAACAAATATTACATCTCGCGAATGATTTGGCTTCTATAATAATGAAGACTCAATTTCCCACAATATTCAACATTAACGCAGCATGAATGCAAGATTAAAAGAAAGGAAAATTTACATATATAGCACTCAATTTACAAGAAAGGAAAATTTAGATAGCTACCAAAGCAAGAGCGTGCGATGTTTTTGAGGAACATAAACTAATCGAAGTAATACAAACAGTAAGATAAACAATTTCTACGTTGTTCCCCAAACCATTACCAATGTAAGATCAGAGTCAATCCCTGCCTTCATTCATTAACTATTAAGCTAGATCTATAACTAGATAAATCCATGCTTTCTCGTTGGGACAAGGTTAAGATGAGATGGATCTAACCAAGAGAGTCAGAGATGGATCTCTATACATGGCAGCATAGCACACAGAAGTGCAAGTTGAAATTCATTTATAGAACTTAAAGAATTCTCGTTTCATGAACATAAATTTTAAATCGATGTAAAAATGCTGCATATAAGAACAATCAAATCCATTCCAGTAACAAAATACAATTGAATTTTCAACTAACCTAAATTGAAGATAAATTGAAGAAAGACATTTCCCCAATAAATATGAATAATATACCGAGATCCTAGAAGCAAAATTCACAAAAAAAAAAAAAAAAAAAAAAAAAACAGATTCGCAGAGCGCGGAGGAGGTAGCAGAGGTGATGGAAGCAGAGAAGCACCTGATATACATAAGGCTGGAACGGCGTGGAGAAGAAAGGTGCAGCCATGTTGAAGAAAATGAGTGGCGGATCAGAACATCAGTGGTAACAACGAGATGGGGCCTCCTCCGGCGCCATGAAAAAGGTTTCGCTGCAGGTCTTCGCCGGCCCGTTTCCACACAAGTAATTAGACCGACAAGGTCAGGGAAGAAAATTTTAATTTTATTCTTTTTTTTTAATTGTATCAGAATTTTAAGTACCATTGATGCCCATGGATTAATTTATGTAATTATATGCAGAACTGCATCACGGAAGAAATACGTCAGTGGCCTAGCGGTTGGATGACACCTGGAATATGGTGGGCAAATATTCCACGTGGTATTGTTTCATTGGTTCCAGGAGTTTAGCGGCAATGTTTTTTTTCCCCTATGAGGAGAAAAACACATTTTTTTTTTCAAAAGGAATTTAGAATTTTAGTAATGTTGTCTTTGAGTAAGATTTTTGATTGATGGTCGTGGAATTATTTTTTAGCATTTTAATATTGTATGAAAATTCAGCATATATTTGGATAATTAAAGTGATAGGTATAGAGAATATGTTTTTATGTGAAAATATTAGAAATTAAAAAAAAACTATAATTTTTTGTCTTGTTAAAACAATTCACCCTATAATTGTAAGTATATAACCGACCCGTAATTACGCAATTATTTAAGTTCTGAAAGATGGCAAAAAACTTGACATAATTTATATTCAGCGGCTAGTGTGCAAAAGAAATATGTTATAAAATTCATTAATAGCTTACACACTATGGGTACTACACAAGTATACGTATCGTTTCAAATAATATAGAATTTTCTTTAAAATCTTACTATCGAACTCACAAGGAATAAGTGAATTTATATGTCAACTTAGAAATATTTCTACTCAAACTGTAAATAAAATTTGTAAGAGAATAAAATTTGTAAGAGAGAGAATAATAACGAATTGTTTGTAAAAGGGTATGAATTAAAGTTTGCTAATTATAAATTAAAACTATAAGTAAGTGTAGATTTTCTAAACTATAGATGTGTAAGGAAGTACGATTATAATAAAAAGGTTTTCCCCTTGCAAAGAGATTGTAATCAGTTTAGGAATCAAACACTTAAAGATAAAAATGAGGTTTGGTGATAAATATGAGCATACATTATCTTTATCCAATCCCGACTGCATAAAGAACATTGAAAAATCTAAAGTTAAGTTCTTGATTGATATAATTGTGATGAGTAAATTCTAGTCTCTCACTTCAGGATTACACACTGTGTCCTTTCTATTATGACTGACTAAGCCTCACGTTCTGAATTAAAGACCAATTTGATAAAGGTTATAGTCTGTCAGTCTATAATCATCAATTATACGCTCATCAAAATTTATCACCCTATTTATTTGCACTCCCCCTTAGACTTAGCTCCCCTCCATCCAAGGTTTAGTGTGGTACTCACTAATTGAGTGAAAATTATAACCCTCCAGGGTCATTATGTTTTGCAATGGATTTTAACATCACAAATAACAAGTTTGCAAAGTAAATTATAAACCTGTGAAAATATCATCACAAATTTATGGAATACAAGAAATCTTCAAAATATTTTAACCCCACACATGATTACTTCTTTTTCAATGATAAAGATAAAAAAAATATCTCAAAATTAATGGAGATAACAAAATAAAACATGATATATATTAAAAACCAAGTTTACAAGACAAAACTTAAATAAAAGTACAAATACTTATCTCAAACTCTTCCCTAAGAAACCCCCTGAAGTTCCCTGACTGATCTTGACTCCACAAGACTCCCACAAGACTCAACAAACACTCATAATCACACAAACTCACCACACTCTCACTATGGTGATCGAACTACCCAAAAAAGAATCTCCTTTCATTTGGAAATCTTTCCTATTAATAAAGCTTTGAGATCACCAAGGATCACTCCAGACACCTTTTCAAAATTCATCCAAATTCAGTGAATATAAGCCCAACCATTTCTGGCACCTAGGCGCCAGCCTTCTAGAATATTCTGGCGCCTAGGCGTCAGGTCAATTTTTTGTTCTTTAGCTCCATTTCACATATTTTTGCTCCATTTTGCTCTTTTTGCTTTTAAACTCCATTCCTTGTACCTGAAATAAAAAATACACAAAATATTTTTCATTAAAGCGTAACATTCTAAAAAATAAGCATGAAATGCACATATAAAATAGGTAATTTTAAGGTGTGTCAGTTCCCTCAAACTTAAATGTTATTTGTTCTCAAGTAACCAGTGTACTATGCAAACCAAATATAATAACTTATGATAGTGGGTTTCACTTAAGAATCTTATAGTTTTGCCCCATAAATGTGGTAATGAAACTTTTAGAAATTTTTTTTAATAATTCAGGTTAGAACTAAAATGTAAGGATGTCCAGTAATCAAGTTATGAATTTTGATTTTCTATTCATTTCAAAAATAACTATAATTTATCATACTTAGGATTCTTAGAAGAATTAAAAGAAAAAAATCATATGAGAACTCTACTGGTAAAGATACCAATACTTTTAAAATTAAAAATAAGCTCATATGTGTAAATAAGTTTTTTCCTTTAAGATAATTCAAGTGAAGTCAATTTTTAATTAGGCATATCCTCAAGTTTCTCCCCACATATATTTTTTTCGCTTTTTGTTTTCTTTTGATTTTGCTTTTCTTTTTCTTTCAAGTCATTTTTAATCTATTCTTTTCTTTTATTTTTTTTTTGGGATTACTATATCTGGATAGTTTTTAATGATTTTGAACTTCATTGTCCTTTTCCTAAAGTTAAAAACTTCTCACATTTCTTCACTTAATAATGTGTATTAGATTTGAAAATGATTTTTCATATAGTCTCAATTCAATTCTTTTTGAAGTATATATCTAAGATTTATAATGTTTCAAAAATACAACTCTTCCTACTCTGAATAGTAAAAGCATATTAAAAGCATATTAAAAGCATATTCTTATACTTTTATACTAGTTATCTTAACTTTAGAATTACCCTTTATTATAAAAAACTTTTACTTAAGTCTACTACCACATTTATATAATAAAAAATATAGTTATCTAAAGCTAACACCATCTACCACATGTTATATTAACATAATTTTAAAAATATATAGTTTATTGATGACAAATAAAGTTGAACTTTAAAAGTTTTTCTCCCTCCCCTAAACTTGAATTTTTAAATAGTGAAAAACATTACAATACATAACAAGTGTGAAGAGAAAAAAAATTTAAGAGATTAAATATTCATAACAGGGTTCTAAGCATGAAATTAGTACATGTACAAGAAATAAAAGCAAGTATGCGTAGCAGCAAGTAAATTTCAAAAACAAGTTTAACAAGTAAATTCTTAAGTAAAAAACTATTATCACATACAGGCAATATATATAAGAAATTACTAAAAGTGTAGTGAAAGTAAAAGCTCTAAAATTCACAGCGACAAAAAATAAGCATAGCATAATGTTTAGCACACCACAACAACAAAGAAAATAATCCATGAAAAACAGGGAAACTAACGACAAAGACATAAAACTACTCCTCCTCATCCTCATCCTCATCATCATCATCAACATCTTCATCCATCTTCTTTCAGTGCTCAAAAGGAGGGTAGTGAGGATACTCAAGAAACTCAGCATCATGATCACAATGTAAGAAGTTCACTAAGGATGTGTTGAAGCTAGCTTCATAATCACTCTTCTTTCTCATATATTATTCTAAGTGGACCTAATGATCTCCATTATCCTGAAGCTGACATTTCATTAAGAACATATCAGATTGAAATTTCAGTGTTTGATCTCGAAGTTCATCCCAAATACCAAGAGGCAGGTGACCAGAGGAAAATATGTTGAGATTTTCATACCTATTTTATATTATTTTTGATCATATTGCACTTTAAAGAAAGATATTTTGATGTTTTATTGCGGGAATGATGAAATAGGGTCATTCGAGCAAAAAGATGCAAAAAAGAGAAAATTTGGAGCGAAAAGGACAAAAATGTGAAGATTTGAACTAGGATGCCGACGGCGAGCCCAACTGCGCCGACGACGAGAATTTCCTGAGACTCCAGAATTAATTTACTTAGAAGGCCCACCGATGGTGCACTCGAGGCCTCCGGTGGCGAGATCGGCTTCGGCGGTTATGTCCAACTAGGCTTTGGATGGGGACAAATTTTGAAGGGATGCTTAGGCAACTCTTAGGAAAGCTCATTCACAACTTTAAAAGAAGATTTTGGCCAAAATTTGAAAAGACTCTAGAGGTCCTGGATGTTAGAAAGATCCTGAAGAGGGGGAGGCTCAAAATTGAAGTGTGAAAAAGTGTAGAGAGTCTAAATTGTGAGGAATTCTTCGAGAGATTGTAAGAGTGGAGGGAAAGTGAGAGATTTCTTCCTCCTTGCCG